CCGCCAGAAGCTGGCCTCGGAGGCAGCGCTGGTGGGCGAGGAAGAGCCTGTGGCCCTCCGTGGTTTGTGTGGTTTGCGTGGGCAGCCCAGTTCCCCAGGTGCAGGTGCACAGCCCCGCGCGTACGCGGCCCCAGCGCCCCGCGCCCCCGGGAGTCGGCCTGGGGGAGGGGCCTCCGGGCGGGGTTTGGCCCTGGGCTGGGGAGTGAGAGAGGAGCGAGGGGATCCGGGAGCGACCTGCCTTCCCGGTCACTGCTGCTGGAGCCACACGATTGGCCGCCCAGAGCTCAAGCGGAAAGGTGGTGCCAGCGGGAAATCCGGGCCCTGGGGTGACGCCGGGCCAGGTGCAATCACCTGCCCGGAGGCTGGGCGGAGGGGGGCTTCAGGGGCAACCGCGCCTTTGTGGGTTCCCGTGCCGATTGTTTGCCAAGTGTTCCTGCAGGCCCACTGTGTGTCAGGCGGTGGGAGCATCTGTTACGTGAAACACCGGTGCAGAATTTACTCCGTTGTTGAAACAGAGACCCACCACGCCCCTCCCCCCGAACTATTTTGTCTTAAACAGCCTTGGGATTCCCCTTTGAACTCCTGGGCTTTTCTCTCTAGAGCCTGCAAGTTTTCTGACCTGGGAGGGGCTCCCTGGCTTCTCCTTGTGCGAGGCTGCTGGGAGGGCTCCCTCGCAGAGGCCAGTGCTTTGGCAGGCCCACTGACAGGGCCCTTGCCCGATTACCTCGTCTTGCAGACCTCTCCCTCCTGAGAACCACTCCAGCTTGAGCTTCACCCTCAGTATTCCTGTCCACAACAGTGCAGGTGTATTCCTGTGGGATGTGGGAGGGGAAAGTGTGCAGTCTTTCTCCTCTGACTGTTTTCCGGCCTCCAGCCGCACCTGATGGTGCACAGTATTCTAACTCTGAAAAGGAGCGAGGTAGTCTAGCTTCTCCCTTAAATTCACCTTGTTTCATTTGGTCTAAGAGCTCAAAGCTCTCCTTAGCATCTGGATTATGATTTATACTGGCTCGTAGTTTATCAGGCTTTCTGCCAAGGGACAGATCCCCTGGGGATGCTTTCTAGGTCCAGCAAGACTCCTACCCAGTCGTCCAGGGGACAGGGGATGGGTGTCCACGAAATTCTTAGTGTTCGGCTCTGAGGTGGCAGCAGAATCTTCGTACTTGTTGAATGTCTGGCAGGAGTCGGCTGTACTTCTCAGGGCTTGCGATTCAGTGGTGACAGAGAAAGATGATCCACACTCTGCCCTCAAAGAATTCCCGAAGCACATGGTGAGGTTGGCGAGGAAAGTTGCACCACACGCCACAAGCAATTGCTGGAGTTTCCCAGAAAGGACGGGACCAGGAGAGGGGAAGGTGGGGTGCTGCACTTGTCCCTGTGGTGTGGTGTGGCTCTTGGTGGCCACCCGCCTTATCACAGTGCTCTGTGTCCTTCATTTGCTTCTTCACTCCCAGTCTCCAAGCAGGTGCGCGGTAAGCTGGTGGACTAAGTCCAGATCTGGATGGTCTCGTCTGAGCCGTCTGGTGGCCCCGCCGTGCATCTGCGCAGTGATGACATCCCAAATTCACTGGAGACTGAGAATGTGGAAAGCACCAGTTAAGGACTGTGGGGACATGGACATGACCTGCCCCCTGCTGCTTCCTATCGTAATAGCCAGTGGCTACTCCTTGAGTCTGGCCTTCATGTTGAGTCTTTGACTCAAGCACGCTCATTCTCATGCCAGTATAGGGCAGGAATTATCTCTGACTTTAACGACAGACCAAGGGAGTTGCTCAGGGCCTCGCTGCTGCTGAAGGGTCAGATTTAAACCCTGGTCTGTCTGGCTCCTGAGCGGAGCGCCCCTAGGCCATACTTTGTATTGTCATCATGGCTCACCTTCCTGTCTCTTCCACTGGATGACAGCTGGGCTGGGGTTGGGGCTGGGTGGAGGAGGTCATGTCTTATTCATTTACCTGCATGAGTGTTTCTGAGTATGATCGATCTGTCCCAGATCATTTAGGGAACAGAGTGTTACTGCTGTTTTGCGGGGAAATAAAGTTTCTGGGTCTCTCCCCAAATCTACCATGCTAGGTTGAATTGTGTCCTCATCCCAAAGTCCTGAGTCCTGGCTCGAATGTTACCTCATTTGGAAATAATGTGTTTGCAGATATAATCAAATTCAGATCTCAAGAGGGGATCATGCTGGGCCCTAAATCTTATGAGTGGTGTCTATAAGAGACAGTAAAGATAGATTTGAGATGCATCTATAAGGGAGCAGCTGTGGGAAGGCAGACACAGAGAGGAAGGCCATAGGAAGGTGAAAAAAAATTGGAGTTGGACAGTGATGGGCCAGGAAATACCAGGGCTGTCCCTAGAGGTTGGAGTAGGCATGGAAGATCCTGCTTTGGGGCCTGCAGAAGGCACCAGCCCTATTGACGCCTTGATGTTCAACTTCTGGCCTCTACAACTAGGAGAGACTCAATTTCTGTGTTTAGGCCGCCCACTCTGTTATGGCCACCACTGGCCTCCAGTGGATCTATGAGAGGCTCCCAAGCCGCCTCTCTCACCAAGCTGACCTGGTGGCTCTCCTGCCCTCACAGGGCACCTGGCCAGGTTCAGTGGCTGTGGCCTGGGTCTGATGTGGAGAAATCGTGTGGAACGCAGGACCTGACGGCAGGATTCAAGAAAGAGTGTGCTTGGTACAGTGATGTTGGAAGGGACCGCCAGCAGGCAGCCCACCTGTGCTTTTTCACCTGCTCACACCCATTTCTGCAGGAGGTCAGGGGACAGTTCTGCTCCCTCCCCGGACCCACTCCTACCCCTTCCTGTCCAGAGCACCCTCTGCACAGTCAGTCAAGGTGCTCCCCCAGCTCCCCTCTAGGGAGCACTTTTCATTTAAAATGGTCTACAGAGATCAGTTGTATTTTCATATTTCTCTCATTATTGAAATACACTGCTGAGGGGACAGTGGGGAGATAGGAGAGGTCTGCTGTGCCATGTGGGTCAGCTCCTTGGTGAGGGACCATACTCAGGCTGCAGTGGCTGGTGATAGCTTGAGAGTATACTGCTACTTAATCTCTGCGCCACCAGGGAGGACCCCCCCAATAAATTTTTATTTTAAGAGGAAGATCCTGGTCATCTCTCGTCCTGCTGCCCGGCACTAAGTCACCCTGAGTTCAGTGTCACTATTTGAATTAGGTTAATTCATTAGATAGTGATCTGTTTCCTTTTGCTTGAGTGCACTGTCTGCAGTGACTGGAAGGCAGGAAGAAGATGTTGACTCTGGGCCTCTGCTCCAAGTCGAACCAGCACCATCTGGAAGAGTTACCCAAGTATGACTCAGTGGTTAAGATTCTGGCTGTAGGTCTCAGGTATTAACTGAGATTTGGGGGGAAAGTCGTGGCCCTCTCTCCCTGTTGTGGCAAATGACGCAACACCCAACCCCAAGTGGGTCAGCTCAGAGGGAACTCCGGGGGGTGCTGTCATGGTTTGAAATGTGTCCCCTAAAAGGTGTTCAAGGTCTGATCCTCTTGCTAGTTGCAAATGTGGCTTTATTGGGCAAGAGAGTCTTTGCAGTTGACAAGCTAAGAGGAAGTCATCTGAAGGTCTCCCACGCCAATGAAAATGTTCTTCTAAAAAAAAGAGGGACAGAAAAAGATACTTGTACCCCCATGTTTATTGCTGCTTTATTTACAATTGGAAAAACATGGAAGCA